GCAAAGCCGTCTCAAGAAGCCCGGGGGACCGGGGGGGGGGGGGGGGCTGAGGTGGGAACAGCGGTTTGTCGTGTCCTGGGAAGACGTTGCTGAAATTCCCGGCGCTGTTTCACCGGGACGGCCCCCAAAGCTGGCTCCCTTGAACCCGGCGCTTCGGAAGCCTCTGCTAACGATATCGGGCAGCCTCGTAGTGATGACTACCCCCAGAACGACGGTCACTGTCATGGCCCAGCACCTCCAAGAGCCAACTGGCCTTTCGGGTTTTGAAGGGCCTGTGACCCAGGGCCAGAGAAGGTGACCCAAGAAGCAGACTCCTTGACCTTGCTTTGATCTTTAGAGCCATCTCAAGGGGTATGCAAATGGATTAGGGCCATTCCATGCTAGATAAGCACGAACTTTGAAATGCAAATGGGGATGGCTGGAGAATTAGCGGCCCTAATTGCACCGGTTGACTTATATCTCTGTAGCTGTTAGCCATAGAACCAACCCGTTCCGGCTGCAGTCCATGCAGGCGGCGATCCAAAGGATGCAAGTATGGAGCCAAATCCATCCCCGTGGCGGGGGGCCGGTGTGGCTAATTGCTGGAGCTGCTTAGGAAATAGCATTTTACATCGAAAGCCCTTTGATCTCCCAAAGACGGCATGCATTCAAGAGGCGGCACAAAAAGTCGCTGCAAAATTCTTGGGGCCCGCTATGTTATCGGAGGCCTGCTAAGGTTTCACCTGGGGAGTCTGAGTCGTCAGAGAGAAGGTGCCGGTTCTATTCTGCCTTGCCCGGATATTGAATATAAGGCTGCTGGACCTGGGGGACTGATTCGGGAAAGGGCTCTCTCTGTCTCGAAAGCTCCCCATGCCTGTTACAAAAACAACCAGTGGGCCCAGGGCACCTTAGGGTATGTCTACACTACAGCGCTAATTCGAACTAGGCGTTAGTCCTCGTAAAATGAGGTTTACCTAGTTCGAATTAAGTGCTCCGCTAGTTCGAATTAAGTTCGAACTAGCGGAGCGCTAGTGTAGCGCCTATCAAAGTTAATTCGAACTAACGTCTGTTAGTTCGAATGAACTTTGTAGTGTAGACATACCCTTAGGGTGTGTCTAGACTACAGAGTTTTGTCGACAAAAGTGGACTTTTGTCGACAAAACTATACCTGCGTCTACACTACCGCTGAGTTCTGTCGACATAACGTCAACAGAACTCAGCAGTTTTGTTGACGCTGGTAAACCTCATTTTACGAGGCATAACGCCTTCTGTCGACAGAGTTTCTGTCGACAGAAGGTGTTATTGCATGTAAACTGTCCTTTGCGTCTACACTGCCATGTCGACAAAGCAGCTTGCTTTGTTGACAGAACTCAATGTAGTCTAGACGCTCTTTGTCGACAGAAGCCTGTAGTCTAGACGTACCCTCTGAGACTAACACGACAGAAATAATATCCTGACCAAAATTCAACACCCAATTGACATCCGAAACGAAGTCACGGACACGTCCAGTCTACTCAGTGCGCCTCATTAACACCGGCATGACAATTAACAAGTACTTGCCCCCTTTCTTTTTCTGCTATAAATTGTGAAGGGCCCCCCCTTTTCTCTCCACTCATCTGAGGAAGTGGGTTGTGCCCCCAAAAGCTCACGACAGGAGATATACTCTTTGTTAGTCCACACAACACCCTGAACTTAAAGGAAAATATGTCGTTTGCGCTGCGCAAATCGCATATCTTGTTTCAATTCCATTCCAAAATAAGCAATGAGGAGTCCTGTGGCACGTTATAGATATGTAGTTTGCGCT